CAGCCTTTTCTCCATACAATTCAGAACCATCTTTCTTCGATTTCATATCTGTTTGAGAGGCATATACCTTCTTCGAATTCGCATAAGAAAAAAAAGTCTGTAAAATTAGTTCTCGATTTTCCAGTAGCGATTAGATTAAATTTCGTGTGGTGATTAGTATCTATTTTTGTGTGGATGTGCTTTGTGGAGAGTATTATGTGTGTGGTGCACATCTTTCCTACCATTACGTAGATCAGAGGTTATTTTAGTGCGTTATGTTTACTTCTATTCTGTACTATGTTTCTCACAAGATTGAGCCTGACATCAAATTAAGTCCAACAGAATCTTCAAGGACAGTATTATAGTTGTGTACAAGGTCATTATGGCTTCCCGAAGTGGTTATTTCACGCCTCAGAGTAGGATCAAGAAATTATTAGAACAAATGTTTTATGTTTCTGTGGAAGCGGAAGTGAACAAAAAAAAACAAAATATGAAGATTCAGTCTATATCTTTCGTATATTTTTTTTTGTTTCATGTATTTTCTTAACGTTCATTGTATTGTTTTATATATTTTGAACAGTTTAATGTTGTTATTTTCTTTTGGAATTCAATTTGATTTTTCAATGAAACTGATTCATTTTTTCATGTTCGCGAAAAAAATCCTTTTAGTCCACTAGCCATATTCTCATTTTGTTTTTTTTTTAATCAAAATATTATTTTATCGATGATAATGGAAAATTCTGTTTTATTGTGACAACATCTTCTGTTATAAGATATTCACAAAATGTTTTTTTTTCTTACAGATACAAATATTTAATATGAGTGCTAATACACCTTGGAAAAATACTGCTGAGCAGTCGTTATATAAAAATGATCACCATGTTGAAGGTGAATTTTTATCTTCAACAGCAGTGGTAGTACCTCAACAACAAAGTACACAACAATGTGGACAAGAAAACCAGATGAGAAAAAAGAAATGTCGTGGTAATCGAAAAAAGCAACGTTATCGCCGACAACTTTATAATCAAGGTTTCGATTCTGACACGGTGGCAAAATTAGTTCAGGAAAAGTTCCATCCTCAAGTACAACAACAACAAAATAAATCGATAGTTGAAAAACATGACTTAAAAAATAGACAAGTAAATTTTTTTTTTAATTTATTATATGATAAAAAGTGCTTGACTATATTTTATTTTGAAGACAACATCACCAAGAAATAATAGTTATAATCCAACGGCAATTGAAACAGGCACGAAACGAAAAAGAATTTTGTTAACACCAACACCAACAACGGAAACA